ACAAGACTCAATACAGATATAGCTCATTTTATTGTGCTTCATTTCATTGTGCTTCATAGATATTTTGTTTTAAATTGAAAAAAATTTAAAATACATATAAAATATATATGTATATATACACATTTATAATAAATATATATACACATATATACACTATATATTAAATATATAGTATATATATGTATATATGTATACAACTATGTATGTATATGTATATGTATATGTACACACATATAGTATAGTATATATATGTGTATATATAGATATATATGGTGTATATATAGGTATATATATAACTTTTTTGTTATTCTCTCTCTCTATATATATGTATGTATATTTACTATATATGTGCATACATATGTATATACACATATATACGTGTATACACACATGTATATAATATATATACTATATATGTGTATATATTATATATTAAATATATGCATGTGTATATATATTTTACATATAATCTATATTAAATATATATACATGTGTATATATACATATATATTATATTACATATAATATATTAAATATATATGTGTATATATGTATATATACACATGTATAAAATATATATACACATGCATATATTTAATATATAATAGATACACACATATATATTATATATACACATATATAATATATATATTTTATATACATATTTATTTTACATATAATATACAATACATCTATTTGATATATAATATATAATATATTATATATACGTGTATATATAATATACAGGTATATATATTTATTTTTTATTATTTTCTCTCTCTGCATATATACAGAGAGAATAACAAAAAAGTTATATATATATACGTATGTATACACTATATATATGTATATATACACACATATATATACTATACTATAGTATAGTGTATATATACACACATATATATAGTATAGTGTATATATACACACATATATGTGTGTATATATACGTATATATAGATATATATATAGTTGTTGGTGGTGGTGGTGGTTAGACAGAGTCTCACTCTATCTCCCAGATTGGAGTGCAGTGGCACCATCTTGGCTTCTCGACTCACTGCAACTACCACCTCCTGGGTTCAAGTCAGTCTCATGTCTCAGCCTCCCAAGTAGCTGGGATTACAGGCATGCACTATGACACCCAGTTAATTTATGTTTTTTAAATAGAGATGGGGTTTTGCCATGTTGCCCAGGCTGGTCTTGAACTCCTGACCTCAGTAATCTGCTCACCTCAGCCTCCAAAAGTGGTAGGATTACAGGGCTGAGCCACCATGCCCCACGTACTATTATATCTCTTATGGTGATCTGACATCAGTGTTCTTTTTCATAATTTTTAACTTTTGTGGGTTCATAGTAGGTGTTTATATTTATGGGTTGCATTAGATATTTTGATAAAGGCATGCAGCATGTAGTAGTCACTTTAGGGTAAATGGAGTATCCATCACTTCAATCATTTATCTTTTGTGTTACAAATAATCTAGTTAAACTCTTAGTTATTTTACAATGTACAATTATTAAAAAATAAGTAAAAAATAATTATTTTTGGCTATAAACGTTACTACTATAATTTTCCGGGAATCCACAAACCCTGCCTATATAAGATGAAGAACTTCATTGATGAATGTTTTCTGTGTTTTGAGTGTTACATGAACTGGCCCTTCCATGCCTCTCTCCTTCTTTTAGGGCCTCCCTATTTTCTAAGACACAACACTCTTTAAAGTAGGCCAATTAATGATCCTAAAATGGCCTCGTAAGTGTTCAAATGAAAGGAAGAAGTCACATGTCTCTCATTTTAAATTAAAAGCTAAAAGTGATTAAGTTTAGTGAGGAGGAAAGCATATCAAAAGCCAAGACAGGCAGAAAACTAGTCTTCTTTTGCCAAAGTTAGCCAAGTTGTTAATGCAAAGGAAAAGTTCTTGAAGAAAATTGAAAGTGCTACTCCAGTGAACACAAAAATGATAAGAAAGTGAAACTGCTAATATGGAGAAGTTTCAGTGGTTTAGATAGAAGATCAAACCAGCCACAACATTCCTGTCAGCCAAAGCTCAATCCAGAAAAAATTCCTAACACTCTTCAATTCTGTGAAGGCTGGAAAAGACGAGAAAGCTGCAGGAAAAAAAAAATGAAGTTATCAGAGATTGGTTCATGAGGTTTAAGGAAAGAAGCCATCTCCATAATATAAACGTGCAGCAAGTGCTTATAAAGAAGCTGCAGCAAGTTATCTGGAAGATCTAGCTAAGATAATTAACGAAGGTGGCTACACTGAACAACAGATTTTCAGTGTAGATGAAGCAGCCTTACATTAGAAGAAGATGCTATCTAGGAATTTCATAGCTGCAGAGAAGTCAATACCTGGCTTTAAAGCTTCAAAGTACATATTGTTCTCTTGTTAGGGCCTAATGCAGCTGGTGATTTTAAGCTGAAGACAATGATCACTTACTTTTCTAAAAATGCTAGCGCCCTTAAGGATCATGCTAAATCTACTCTGCCTGTTCCGTGCACACGGAACAACAAAGCCTGGATGACATCATATCTCTTTACAGAGTTTAAGTCCACCGTTGATCCCTACTGCTAAAAAAAAAAAAAAGATTCATTTCAAAATGTTTTCTTATTGACAATGCAACTCGTCACCCAACAGTCCTGGAAAAGATATACAAGGAAATTAATGTTGTTTTCATGGCTGCTAACACAACATTCATCCTGCAGTTCATGAATCAAGGAGTAATTTCAACTCTTGAGTCTCATTACTTAAGAATTACATTTCATAAGGTGACAGCTGCCATAGTCAGTGATTTGTCTGATGAATCTGAGAAAAGCAAATGGAAATGATTCTGAAAAAGGTTGACCATTCTAAATCCCATGAAGAACATTCATGAATCATGGAAGCAGGTCAAAATATCAATATTGACGAGAGTTTGGAAGAAGGTGATTCTACCCCTCACGGATGAATTTGAGGGGTTCAAGACTTCGTTGAAGGAAGTCACTGTAGATGTTATGGAAGTAGCAAAAGAAATAGAATTATAAGTGGAGCCTGAGGATGTGACTGAATTGTTGCAATCACATGATAAAACTTGAATGGATAAGAAATTTCTTCTTATGAATGAGAAAATAACGTGGTTTCTTGAGATGAAGTCTACTCCTGGTGAAGATGCCATGAACATTGTTGAAAGGACAACAAAGGACTTAGAATATTGCATACATTTACTTGATAAGGCAGTGGCAGGTTATGAAAAGATTGATTCCAGTCTTGAAAAAAGTTCTGCTGTGGTTAACATGTTATCAATCAGCATTGCATGCTACAGAGTATTTTTGTCATGGAAGGAAGAGCCAATCAATGTAGCAAACTTCTCTGTGATCTTCTTTTAAGCAACTGCCGCACCTACCCCAACCTTAAGCATCCACCACCCCATTAGCCAGCGACCATCAACATCAAGGCAAGAGCTTTCACCAGCAAAAAGATTTCGATAGAATTTCATATCTCACAGTGTCCTGTCAATAAAGATTAAAGTCCACCATTTTCTTTATTTCAAAAAATAAAAAAGATTTCACGCTACTGAAGCCTCAGACAATTGTTAGCATTTTTAGCAATAAAACATTTTGAAATTAAGATATGGAAATTATTTTATGAGACATTAATGATTAATGCTATTGTACACATAAGCTACAGTATTGTGTAAATGTAACTTTTTAATGTACTGTAAGATGAAAAAATTTCCATGACTCACTGTTTTTAATATTTGTTTTATTGCAGTAGTCTGAAACCAAACCCATAATAACTCTGGAGCATGTTTCTATAATATTTTTACTAAATCCAAAAGAATTTTGTCCAATAGGACTATGGATTTGTACGAGGTCTACCTTTGTAAAGCCCTGTCATTTTAGGCAGGGATATTAAAATGTGAGACACATGCATTTTAACTACTTGTTTAACACTGATTGTACCTAGATCTGTTGAAATATGTTTATCCTTGTATATATTTATACTTTCAAGAAGAACAGACTTGCAAAAAGTGCTTTTAAAGTCCTCTTTTCAATTATTTATAACATTTTGTACAAATTCAGTTTTCTATATTTTTTAAGGGAAAAAATCCTCTTACAGAAGCCAATTACAAAGAGAATATTCTTCGTAAAGCAGCACAGATGTTGAGAATAATTTTACATATGGGATAACTTCTCTTTGCCCATTTAAGGAAGCATCATATATTCACAGCTGGAATTTCTCTAGTAAGAGGTCTTCTAGGGTAAAGCCAGCTGCCATTTCACTATCTCCCTAAGATAAGCGACTCAGCAGCACATCACAACATTACTACATTAAACAAAAATAACACATGGTCTTTATGAACACACATCTGTTCTATGTATCCACCACCACTTCATTATTTTAATATAACCTGAAGAATCAAGTTGTGTCTAATGTTTTTAGAGTACAAAAGATATGTGCTAGATTTGCCTATTAGGTTGCTGTAATGGCCCCATATGTCAAGATTGACTTAAAAAAAAAAAAAAAAAAACTATTACCTAAAACAAGAATTGCCTCTGAGATATTAGAAGCTTCATTAAACTACATTGAAAATATATAATAAAAACTACTATATGGGGGAAGTAAGTCCAGATTCTAAGACTGGCTCTAACACTAAAACAAGAGTTTGGACTTTTGGCAAGTCAGTATTCTCCTCTAGATTTCAGCGACTTCCTCTATAAGACTATGGTTTCCATTAAATGATTTTCAGGGTCCCTTGTAATGCTGATTCTAAAATCTAAGTATCAATGTTCTTCCTGTTTTTAACAATAATTCTATCTTCTCTCAATGTATATATCTACCTAATTTAACTTCTACAGAAGCCACCGAAGTAGCAAAATGGGAAATGATATCTATTAAGAAGATACTTTTGGTGTTTGCTCTTCCTTCAAATTTGTAAAATCCTTCAAGGCCTCTTTTCTATACTAAACTCTCTTTTCTTTACTTCATGTATTAGATTCACCATTTTAAATAAGAAAGTTGACCAACCAATTTAGAGCCCATTTTCTTCCAAAAATATTTGCCTTCTCAAAATTGAAACACATTTTACATTGAATTAAGTGATGTTCTGTGAAACCAGGGCCGTTTGATAAAAATAGTGACTGTTGGCCGGGCGCGGTGGCTCAAGCCTGTAATCCCAGCACTTTGGGAGGCCGAGGCAGGTGGATCACGAGGTCCAGAGATCGAGACCATCCTGGTCAACATGGTGAAACCCCGTCTCTACTAAAAATACAAAAAATTAGCTGGGCATGGTGGCGCGTGCCTGTAATCCCAGCTACTCAGGAGACTGAGGCGGGAGAATTGCCTGAACCCAGGAGGCGGAGGTTGCGGTGAGCCGAGATTGCGCCAG